CTCGATTTGCCGTTGCGCAAAAAGATGCACGCCGCCCAGGTTCGAGCACCTGTGGGGCATATGCTGAGTCCGGCAAGGAGAAAAACTGTGGATGGACGGAATCCATTTCGCACCACTAAGAAACCCTAGAATGATGATTTCCCTGTGAATGCCAACAGACAATGGTTTTTCATTGTTCCAAAGTGGTGCAGATTTCTCTGGAGAGGGTTCCGGGGCTGTTCTGGTGGGGAACTAAACCCCACTTCTGATTCTGGGGTCATAGTGGCACCCTTCTGGTGGGGAACTAGACCATTCTGATTCTGATTCGGTCATAGGTTTGACTGCTTGACTTTTTTTGAGCTGCCCAATGGCACCCTTCTATGTGCTGGAAAGACCACCAGACCCACTGGGGGCATGGCTTCGACTGCTTGCCAAACTCCATGGGTGGCTTCTCTGGAACACCTACGCAGGGTGAAATCACGCCGGGTGGCAGCCTGGCTTCCTTATCATTTGGTGGTCCTACCGGTGGACGTCTCCATTTCGCACGGATTTCTGGTGAACCATGGTTTCAATCAAACAGAAAACAACGTGCGAGCGGTGAATCGCGCAACCAATGGTTTCCATTCATGCGCGATCGTTTCTGCTGGGTTCACCCTTATGGATGTGGCCAACCCCTCAAAACAATCGAACGAGGTGAACCCTTATGGATGTGGCCAACCCCTCAAAACAATCGAACGCGGTGAACCCTTATGGATGTGGCCAACCCCTCAAAACAATCGAACGCGGTGAACCCTTATGGATGTGGCCAACCCCTCAAAACAATCGAACGAGGTGAACCCTTATGGATGTGGCCAACCCCTCAAAACAATCGAACGCGGTGAACCCTTATGGATGTGGCCAACCCCTCAAAACAATCGAACGAGGTGAACCCTTATGGATGTGGCCAACCCCTCAAAACAATCGAACGCGGTGAACCCTTATGGATGTGGCCTCAAAACAATCGAACGCGGTGAACCCTTATGGATGTGGCCAACCCCTCAAAACAATCAAACAAGGTGAACCCTTATGGATGTGGCCAACCCCTCAAAACAATCGAACGCGGTGAACCCTTATGGATGTGGCCAACCCCTCAAAACAATCGAACGAGGTGAACCCTTATGGATGTGGCCAACCCCTCAAAACAATCGAACGAGGTGAACCCTTGTGATGTGGCCAACCCCTCAAACAATCGAACGAGGTGAACCTTATGATGTGGCCACCCCTCAAAACAATCGAACGAGGTGAACCCTTATGGATGTGGCCAACCCCTCAAAAATCGAATGGCCAACCCCTCAAAACAATCGAACGAGGTGAACCCTTATGGATGTGGCCAACCCCTCAAAACAATCGAACGAGGTGAACCCTTATGGATGTGGCCAACCCCTCAAAACAATCGAACGAGGTGAACCCTTATGGATGTGGCCAACCCCTCAAAACAATCGAACGAGGTGAACCCTTATGGATGTGGCCAACCCCTCAAAACAATCGAACGAGGTGAACCCTTATGGATGTGGCCAACCCCTCAAAACAATCGAACGAGGTGAACCCTTATGGATGTGGCCAACCCCTCAAAACAATCGAACGAGGTGAACCTTATGGATGTGGCCAACCCCTCAAAACAATCGAACGAGGTGAACCCTTATGGATGTGGCCAACCCCTCAAGCACAATCGAACGAGTAACCCTTATGATGTGGCCAACCCCGTCAAAACAATCGTAACGAGGTGAACCCTTATGGATGGCCAACCCATCAAAACAATCGAACGAGTGAACCCTTATGGATGTGGCCAACCCCTCAAAACAATCGAACGAGGTGAACCCTTATGGATGTGGCCAACCCCTCAAAACAATCGAACGAGGTGAACCCTTATGGATGTGGCCAACCCCTCAAAACAATCGAACGAGGTGAACCCTTGAACCCTAATGGATGTGGCCAACCCCGCAAAACAATCCGAACGAGGGTGAACCCTTATGGATGTGGCCAACCCCTCAAAACAATCGAACGAGGTTGAACCCTTAATGGATGTGCCCAACCCCTCAAAACAATCGAACGAGGTGAACCCTTATGGACTGGGCCAACCCCTCAAAACAATCGAACGAGGTGAACCCTTATGATGTGCCAACCCCTCAAAACTTCGAACGAGTGAACCCTTATGGATGTGGGCCAACCCCTCAAAACAATCGACACGAGGTGAACCCTTATGGGATGTGGCCAACCCCGTCAAAACAATCGAACGATGTGTACCCTTATGGATAGGCCAACCCCTCAAAACAATCGAACGAGGTGAACCCTATGGATGTGGCCAACCCCTCAAAACAATCGAACGTGGTGAACCCTTATGGATGTGGCCAACCCCTCAAAACAATCGAACGAGGTGAACCCTTATGGATGTGGCCAACCCCTCAAAACAATCGAACGCGGTGAACCCTTATGGATGTGGCCAACCCCTCAAAACAATCGAACGAGGTGAACCCTTATGGATGTGGCCAACCCCTCAAAACAATCGAACGAGGTGAACCCTTATGGATGTGGCCAACCCCTCAAAACAATCGAACGAGGTGAACCCTTATGGATGTGGCCAACCCCTCAAAACAATCGAACGAGGTGAACCCTTATGGATGTGGCCAACCCCTCAAAACAATCGAACGAGGTGAACCCTTATGGATGTGGCCAACCCCTCAAAACAATCGAACGAGGTGAACCCTTATGGATGTGGCCAACCCCTCAAAACAATCGAACGAGGTGAACCCTTATGGATGTGGCCAACCCCTCAAAACAATCGAACGAGGTGAACCCTTATGGATGTGGCCAACCCCTCAAAACAATCGAACGAGGTGAACCCTGAACGAGGTGAACCCTTATGGATGTGGCCAACCCCTCAAAACAATCGAACGAGGTGAACCCTTATGGATGTGGCCAACCCCTCAAAACAATCGAACGAGGTGAACCCTTATGGATGTGGCCAACCCCTCAAAACAATCGAACGAGGTGAACCCTTATGGATGTGGCCAACCCCTCAAAACAATCGAACGAGGTGAACCCGTATGGATGTGGCCAACCCCTCAAAACAATCGAACGAGGTGAACCCTTATGGATGTGGCCAACCCCTCAAAACAATCGAACGAGGTGAACCCTTATGGATGTGGCCAACCCCCCCCCCCTCCCGCAAAAAAAAGGGGAAAAATAAAAGCAGAAAAAACGCACATGTATAGCCAATCGTTTCCCGGATGCCTTCCAGGTACCGGGAAGCTTGGATCAAGAGCCGAACCATGGGACCGCGCCCCAAAGAGGGCCGTCCCGCTGCGCTTCGATTCGGGGGACTCGGTTTTCCTTTTGGCGTCCCAACAAGAAGCAACCCCACAGAGAGAAGCTGCTAGGACAGGCCCGATTGCTTTACTCCAACATCTCACTTCCCAAGTTCCAGAGCATTTGGTAGGCAAACAACTCTGGGCGAATCCCAGTTCCTTCCCCCACATACGGAACATGGAGCCAGAGGGGCAAGGAGCTCCTTTACACCTAGGCTTCGCACTAGTGCCTTTTACCAACTTGTTGGGGCAGTCCCCTACTAAAATAGACAGAAAAAAGAAACGGTACCCTTATCCTAACCTCTCAAATCTGGAGGACCAGGCGCTTGGATGGCAATTTGTTGCGGTGAGAGCTTGCTCAGGTCCCAAGCTCCTTGGCCAAGTTAAGCTTCTCGGGTGTCGGCAGAGAGCCCCATTGTTCCGAAGCCTCAGATGGACGACAGACATTTCGACTCAGCCTCCTGGATCGAACTGATCCATACTAGGCATGTTACAAATGTATATCTATACATACATGCACATACACATATACATTGCGAAATACGCATACGCATACATATACACATACACCATACAGACATACATGCATGCATACAGGCGTACTTTCATGTTTAATGCCCATACCCTCTACATACCCCTTATATACCCTTGACCCTTTTTATGCACCTAGGCCGGCCAGTACCAGCGCCCCTGCACGGGGTTGTCGCCATGGCCTTAGTTTTTGCCATCTGGAGTTCGCGTAGCCGGCATGTGGTTGCCCCCCAAACATGTCTCCCGAGCCGAGAATATTGACTTGCCACAAAACGAGTCATCCCCTCACCTGGGGACTCACAAATTTGCCGAGCGAGGCTATGTATGTTCCCATGGATATGGCACCCAATTGACCGGTGTCGCGTGCCGGATATTGCAGCTTACTCAACCATGCGGGGGTCATACCCGCGCTTCACATGGGGTAGCTTAAGCCCAGAGGGCCAGTACTTGATGCACTTGGCCAGGGATCCAAATACTCGAGAGGGACGAGAAGGTGATGTTTGATTTTGTCGGTCTTACTGGCATGCTGACTTCTAGGAGAACAACCGTTTTCTCGGGTTGAGGGTCTCACCACACTCCCCAATGATACCCGACATTCCGTTTGGTCATGGGAGACGCCTTGTGTATGTGTTTCGTTGTCTTCTTTTTGTTGCGTGTTTTAGTATGTTAAATTCTGCAGGTGTCCATTGTCTGTGTTGCCTGTTCTCGTTGAGTTTTAGCAATTATGTGCCATATGTGTTTGTTTGAATGGACGTTGTGACTAATTGTGACAGGCGTACGGATTTCAAGTAGTGTCACCTCTTGTGCTTTGAGCGAAAGCAATCGGCCTGTTGGATGGATGGATGGATGGATGGATGGATGGATGGATGGATGGATGGATGGATGGATGGATGGATGGATGGATGGATGCTTGGTTGGTTGGTTGGTTGGTTGGTTGGTTGGTTGGTTGGTTGGTTGGTTGGTTGGGAACGGGTTGCCGCCTTGTTGGTGTTTTCAGCTAAACTCCACAACCAGTCGCTGAGTTCCAGTCGCTACAACATGCCAATGGCTGAGTTTTGCATATCGCGTGCCATGTTAGTACCTTTCTTTGGACGAGACGGCGGAATTCCCGAAGATATGGGTAAGTGACGGGGATGACCAAACCATGGCTATGATTTTGAAAACCGCACCGCCTCACAAGTGGTTGGACCTTTCATCCAAATGATGTCCACCAAGGGCTCCGAAAATTAACATTCACACCCAAATGGCTAGGAATTGTTGCGCTTTTCACGTAGACCCCCTGAGCTCACCGGTAATTGCTGTGTGAGGTGGGGCCCTGCGTGGATGATGCGGCGAAGGCTCAGGCGAGAGACGGAGAAGCCCAGTGGTTAAACAGCACACAGTTGCAACATGGGTATGGGTCAAAATTAAATCACCCGGAGAACGCAGGTTTTGGTTCATGTTTCCACTTACCAGGGGCAACCCATTTTGGGTACATATTTTTGACCCACAGCCACATGTTGCCAATGGTTGAACGGTGAGTTGGCAGCATCCAGGGTTGGCCGGGGGTTTCCCTGACACCCCTCGGTTCCTTGGCTTGCAGAATTGGTGGGGTCCCTGGTTGCCACAGTTGGTTTCCAGGGACAGAGTCTTTCGCTACCCTGCCGACATTCTTTTGTGGGAGGGGGGGGGGAGTCCTGATGTTGGCGTTGGGAGGATCAGAAGGTGGCAAGGTAGCTAGAGCAAATCCTGATCCCAGCAACGAACGGCCATAGAGGAGAATGGTCCAGGCAGGCCCACCCCCCCCCCCCCAGTTGGCTTCCATGCAACGTTGGCCGGAGGACTGAAGTGCTATGTTTCTGCTTTGTCTGGTCTAGGGGTTAGCTGGGGGTTGACTGGAGATTACTAACTGCACCTAGCTAGCCTCCAGATCATCTAAGCAAGTGTCGCCCCAGGGCCCAGAGATGACTTGTGCTAGGGAACCACCTCAAAAGTGGTTCACCGAAATTATGTCCACCAAAGGGTCGGGGGACCCAGCGAGACTTCAAGACTTGCAGGCGGCAAAGGCTCCAGCCGCGCCGGTGGACTTGCTGGACATGGGCGAGAAGGCCGATGCGATGCAGGGCAATCCCCCGTGAAAGACGACTAGGTCCAGTAGTGCCCTTTCTCACCCAACTTTTTTGGTTGGGAGGGTTCAATTCCCCTACTAAAATAAACTACCGACAAAAATAGGGTACCAACTTATTCTAACCTCTCTGGAGGACCCAGACGATCAACCTTCCGTTGCGGCACCAGCCGTCCCTTCCCAACGCCGTCAACCCAAGGGGTGACCCTCCTCTCCCAGCCACCGGTCTGGGGATGCTCGAACCAGCGGGCGGAACATGAAAATTGTCCCACTTCCCTTCAGTGTTCCTGCCTTGTGCCAATGGGTCTTTTTAGCAACCCTGGTTCGATCATGTGCGTGGTTGAAGCCAACTTCTAGGCCTTTGTGAGCTTACGGATCCGGCTTTGGTCGCGGGCTCACCAATGCAGGTCCTTAGATCCAAATCTGATTTCAGGTTTTGGACCTGTTGTGGCTGTGTCTTTTTGATCCCTCATGTTGTGGCTTTAAAGGGAAGCCAAAGAAGAACCACAATTTTGGAGAGTGCCCCAAAAAGGATGAACGTTTGCAGAGTTTGAGACCCACACGGATGCCGAGGGCAATCGGCCAAGCACCGGTCACTCACCAGCTTGGTTCCCTTTTTTTGGGGCCAAGATACAAAGAGGTGGGTGAGTTCTAGAGCTGCATTCCACGGCTGGTCTTTGGAGCTTTTGCCACATGCGTCTTTTGGACACTCTTCGCGCAATTCTCAAGGCCGGTTTTCACGGCGCTCGGAGCGTGTCTCCCCAGTTTTCGGGGCTCACGGCGGTGATCCTTGTCGAGTTCAGGTAGAGAAGACGGAGAAGGCGAAGCCGGCACAGGCCGCGGGCCAAAAACGAGAACCAAAAACGGCCGCACGAGTTGACCGTTTTCGCGTGCGAAGGTTTTACGTTTCCATACCCCCACAAAGGTTTGTGTCAACATAGGGCAATAAACATATGGTTTTTCCTTGTAGCGTTTTGTGGTTCCCTCTCGAACCACAGAACAGGGAATGGACGGTCTTTGGTGTGCCCCAAAAGTCCCCGGAGAGACCTTTTGGAGAAAGATGATGTTGTGTTCCATTTGTTGTTTGACATAATATGTGTTATGTTCCCCTGTTGGTTTTGCCGAGAATCTATCGCTATTGGACATGCTTGTATGTTTTTGCCGGGAACCTTACGCAAATGGAGGTGACCATCCATTGAGGCGGTTAGTTGGGTTGGCACATTGGCGGAAGAACAACTCCCGACACAGGCTGCTTCGCCACCAAAGCCCATACTCTCGAGGCCCTTCTAACTCAAAGCTTATTGGCTGATAAGCCCCCTAACCCTTTCGGGGTGCCGAGAGGGGGGGGGTGCCGCGGAATGATTCTGGCGGGCGAGGGTGGCAGGGTCCACAAATGTATGGCCTCCGACCTTTCGTACTCCCTCCGTTGGACTTTAGTCGCTTTTTGTCAAGATTATTTCGTGGCAAACAAGTGTTTGAAGCTTTTGGGACCATCCACTCAGGGAGTGACATGTCCCTTTCGCTTTAAGAGGAACAAGAAGTCAGACTTTTGGCCATTCGATCGGTGAGCGCCAAACCGCCGCTCCGAAGATGCCGCTAGGCCGACCTCCTTGGCTTCGATGATGGCCAGGCAAACATTGATTCGTGGATTCTATCGCTTCCCAGTACAGTTCCGGCTTGCTGGGGCCAAGTCTGGGTGGAGCAACACCTGCCGGAGGGCACCCCTTCGATCAATGTCCTTCTGCAGGGACTCTTGGCGCCATGTAGGAGGGAACGGATTCAGGGCGTTGCAGTAGTGACTATTAGGTCCCATGAAGGATTAGGGAAAATGACCTTGCGAGTCGGTTTCTGAATCAGTATGGGAGATTTGAGGGTTCACTGTTGGGGTTCTGATGTCACGTCCTGAAGTCCTTATATGCGCATAACTCTTGCAGCATCTGTTTTCCCTTTTCGAAATACAGCGGGCCCCCGCCTAAACCATGTAAATCCCACCAGCAGCGCTAGCTCGGCGCTAGGGTGAGAAAATTTGCAGTTTGGGCTTCATATGAGTGCTGGCCAAAGCCTGCTTTCATCTAGTCTAGTCTAGGAAGACATGGGATGTGAGATGCGGATGTCCGCATGCATCCTGCGCAGTGGCCCCTTCTGCGATTTGCGCTACAACACTGGGAGCCAGTTTTGGCCGGGGGGAGGGGGGGAAAGCTGAGGTAGATTTGGTTTGAGGCTGTGTTGCGTGAGATTTGAGGCGCGAGCGTTTTTGAGTTGAGCTTTTTGGGGGGGCCGGGGCTTCTGGCTTGGTGTTTTTAGGCTGCACAATCAGAGCCAAATTCGGTTGAAAACTAGAGTTTCGAGTACGGCTGTCATTTACCATGGTTTCATTGGAACGCAGCCGGGTCCTTGCCAACAATTGCTACCCTTGCAATCATAGTCTAATGGTCATGTGGCTATGGGTAAAGGGAGTCCAGCCTTAGGGACAGGCTTGCTGTCTGTTGATGTCCGTCAAGCCCAGGCAGAAGGACGATCGAGCCGCAAGAGTAGAACATTGGTATCGGGTTCTTGTGCGTTCCTTTTGCGCCAACTTTCAACCCGGTCGACTGGCGGCAACCTTGTCAAGTCACACCGCCACAGAAACATGGAACCAGTCAGAATGCCACTTGAAGAGGAGAGTGGTCTTACAGGACCCCCCCATGTCAAGTGGACGGGAGGGCACCCTCCAAGCCGAGTTGCGTTCACCGGACGAAATCCTGCACCAGTTAAGTGGTTTGCCCAAGTTTGTTCGTTATGGGTTTTATCCACTCCAGTTGGTGCGAAGTGGGTTTTGTCCATCAACAGTATGTCAAGGGGGAGCTAGGGTGATGCTTCGCCCAAACCTTTCAGCCGAAAGCATCGCGTGAATTTGGCAGGCAAGCGCGCCGGGCGGTACGGAAGCCTAGGGAGAGCTCAACCCCGAAAACGGCGGGGTCCGATGGGTCTGTCTTTTTTGAGGGGACCCCCTCAAGAGAAAATAATGATGGTTTTCCTCTTGGTTTCCCCGTAAAGCCAAGAGAATCCAAGAAGAGAAGGTGTGGCTCAAAATGGCTATGAATGCGTCCTTCCGAAACGGTCGGTGAACATAATTTACACCCAACTGAGACATAATTGTTGCTTCTATTTCAGGTGACACACTTGTTGGGTGCCACTGTTTTCAGCCGCAGCCATCGTGACCGAATGTATTACACATCAATTTTCCCCTGGCTTTAGCCTGAGCCTCCGATCTGAGGCGATCTCTTGGGCCTTGCGCAGGCCGGCCGTTTTTTTTTTGCGGCCAAAGACGTGTGAACAACTGCAAATACGATGTTGGGATGGATGGTGGCTCCCAGCCATCCCCTTAGGTTTTTTGCTTTTTAGTGTTTAGTGGCAGTTTCCATGTAACCCACTTTTTAGTTAAACTTTTAGCGGGGGATCTGAGGGCAGCCCAGATTTTTTGGGTTTCCACCCGCTCGATGTTCGCGAGAGGCTCCGTCGAAACCGGCGTCCAATGGCAGCGACCTGCTAGGCTTCGCACGGCGCCCCAGGCGTTTTTGGTGTCGTCTCGACTCGGAGTCGTGGCGCGATATGCATCTTCCAACGGTTCCACGTTTATGTTGTCTAGGTTCCCCAGCTAGGTGTCCTTGCTCACCCAACTTTTTTGGTTGGGAGGGTTCCCCTGCTAAAATAGACTACAGAAAAAGTTTGTACCCTTATTCTAACATCTCTACTGGAGGACCTAGTGGATCTTCCAGCGGTTCCATGTTTATGTTGTGGATGGTGGCGAAATCCATTTCGCACCACCTAAGAAATCCTGGTTTCTGATGATTCCCTTGTAAATGCCAACAAACAATGGCTTCCCATGGTTTCAAGGCGGTGCGAAATGGATTTCGTTCACGCACACTAGGGCAAACTAACACGAGCTCACCCATGAAGGTCCCTGAATGTCGATGTATGTTTTGTTTGTTTTCTTCTCGGAGGAACGTGCTGACCAGGGCTGGTTCCCTTTTAGTAGTGAAATGATGAATTCGCGTTGGGTGGTGGAGTCCTGTGTAGTAGGGGGCTCCGGATGAATCCGAAGTTGACATTGGGTTCCCCTATTTCAAAATTGGCACTTTAGTCATAGTTGCCGAGAATGTGGTGAACCGCCAGCAGCCCCCCACGACTACTTTCTGGAAAGCATTTGAAGTGTACACGGAAGGCTGCCATTGGATGCTGGCAAGGGAACCCCCCGTACACCGAAAGGAAAACGGCTGGTAGAATTGGGATCGTCTGGTAGAAAATGGCGAGCTCACGGGATGGCTCCTTAGCAGACACAAGATACCGACTCTCACCAGCAACTGGAGTAGCCAAAGCCCCGTTTCTCCGCCACAGACATGTTTCGACCGAACGTAAACTTCATGTTTGCGTTTAGGTTGTTCAATCTATGCTCACTTACTCCGCTGAATCCCAGATACCTGAGTCCCAGCTCCGCCAGAACAACACATTTTCCGCTCTTTCAGGTTTGTGGATTGGTCAGCAGGGATTCGAAATCCCCCAGCCGCTGAAAACTGAAATTGGAGGGAGCATTTCGATCCCTGGAGAGCTCCATTCGTGAAGGAGACTTCAAAACTAGAATGGGGGTGCCCCCCCCTTCAGCTGACCTCTTTCCCCTTTTGACTACTTTTCAATTTTCCATGTTTTCCCTTGCAATCAACAAGCTAAGCTGTTAATTGCTTGTTCCTTTAGGAGAAATGTGGACCAAAATCCGAACGTATGCTGTTTGTGTACCAGCGCACCTCAGATTGACGGTGTCACTACGCCCGCTCATTTTATGAGCGCTGCGTCCGGCAGCGCCAACGAATAAACCTGGCAGCCAAGGGAAAACAAGGGCCATAGGTGTCCTTTTTGGGGGTGGGTCAAAATAGGAATCCCCAGAATGGGTTACCCTGGTAAATGGGTTACCAAAGGCTAAAATCTGCAGTCCTCCCCTTTTGTCTGGTTCTTGAATGTTGACCCATAGATGGCGTCTCCTGGTTGTCCTGGTTGCTTCATAGTATGGAAATCCATCTATTTTTAACCCTCAGACCACCAAGCCCAGGTTGTTTGAGAAGTGCCCTTTTACCAACTTTTTTGGGGAAGGGTTCCCCTACTAAAGTAGACCGCAGAAAAAAAAGGTTGGTGCCAACTTATTCTAACCTCTCAAATCTGGAGGACCTAGCCATCTGTTAACCCTCAGACCAAGCACTAGGACCTGTCAGCCGGTTCTTCAAGTTTGAGCCTTGGCGCCCCTCGGCGCTGGCGGCTGAAATCGGTTGAAATCCTCGGCCCCTGAGGGCTCGCTGGACTTCAACCAGGTGGGGGAGCCGTGAACCGTGAACCGGGCCGGCGGGATGGTCGGGTTCGCGAAGCCCGAAGAAGGTGGAAGCAAAACGGTGGAGGTTTCCTCGAAATCCGACAAGCAAAAAACGGAAAAGGAACAAAAAGGGACAAAACAACGGTAGAAACCTGAAGATGGCCAGGTCAAAATACCTGGCGATTCCGGTTCTTGGAAGTCGGTGATGGGAACCTACTTACCTTTGACGCGTTAGGTACTCATGGATGGGAGTCTACCGCTACATGGTATCACAGGCATCAAAAACAAAAATACGTTTTGCTTCAGAAGGTGTCCACACTTGCAAACAGGCCCTTAAAACAACTTTTTGAAACTGGATCAACATTGTTTCGTGAGGTTTCTTCAAATCATTTGAGCCCTTGCCTTGTTTGAGCCCTTGCGACACGGCGCGCCTGGCCGAGCTGTCGCACCTGGGCTCCCCCGGACGGATCTGCCCCGGTGGTTTTGGTTGCCGCGGGTACGATTCGAGTTGTACCCTTCGAGCAGGTGAGTGAACGGGATTCCAGGCCTCTTGTTTGTCACGAAATGCGGACATGAAAGGAACCCTGATGGCGAGAAATCGATCAAATGGAACTGGGGAAGGGTGCTGCAATTCCATTTCTAAGTACTCTTTGGGTAGATGGAATTAGGGCCACCCCTAACCCCTTGGAGGTAGCGGCCCCAGCGCCAGTGGCATCCGCGGTGTCCCCAGCAACGGCAAACGCCGCACTCCTGGCGCCAGCGGCTGCGCCTGTGCAGGCGCTAGCTGAATCTGCCAGCGGTGTCGTGGTGAGGAATTTCAATAGCAACCATGAATCCCCATCATCTCCACCACCCTGGTGCTTTAAACATTGTTGCTCCTGTGCTACTTTAAACATTGTCACACCCATTGTGCTACTTGAAACATTGTCGCACCAATTGTGCTACTTGAAACATTGTCGCCATGTGAGTAGATAACGGCCAACGGCCCCGACGACTGCTTGTGGGACAGTTGGGCTTTCGGACATAGGAAAGAGCAGTTGTTGGAGGATCCTGGTAAGGGAAACAACCTTTCACAACGAGGACAACTGCTGATTACCTACAGTACTATGGTGGCAGCTGGGATTCACTGGTGCGCAAATTATAATGATCTCACTTGGGAAAAAGACGAACGCTTTATCCCATGAAGATTCCTGTTTGGGAACTT